GACTGCCTGTAACCTAGCCCGAGTCTGTCAGCTGGTTCTGAGGAAACATTTCCCTACAGCTTTAATCTCCTCGTGCAGAGAGAGCAGAGCAGCTCGGGGGAGTTGGAAACGGTGACTCACTGATCTCAGCCCAGGGCTCTGAGCATCACTGTGTTMACAGCTGGCCAAACCCTCTAAAACCCTGCAGCTCCACTCTCAGTGTCACCCTGGCAGGACAGGACAGAAGAAAAGTCACCCAAGCCTTGTGTGGCTTCACTTCTCCAGCCCTGGGTGTTTGTGGTGGGATGAACGATTGGAGCTCTGGGAGGTCAGTGGGTTACAGCTCCCACCACAACTGCCCAGCACACAGCAACAGCTCCCTGCTTTTCACAAGGACCCCAATGGATCTCAAAGTTTCCTTCTTTCTATTTTTAATTGTTTAAATTTTTAATTAAAAAATTTAATTGTTTAAATTTTAGCCCATCTCTAAGGGATTTCTGAAGAAAATTCTTTCCATAAGGGTTCAAACTGGAAACATTTGAATTGCTTCACTCTCCTGATGCTGCCCAGCTGGTTCTGCAGTAAAATAGGAGAGGGAACCCTGCTGATTTTTAAGAAGCACCTGGCACGCTGTGTGGCTGTCGCAAAGTGGMCATGGGACAAAGACTCCAGCAGAGCTGAAAGCTGAAAGGCTCAGAGAGTTTTGCACAGTCTCGAGTGGGACGCAGAGGAAACCATGTCCCTGTTTCAGGTGAATGTTCCATTATTCAGTGTATCTGCCTCGATTTACCCAAACAAGCTGCAGAGCATCCTTCCTTGCCAGGAAGACCCAGGGGGGTGGAGCAGGGGCTAAGGGCAAGGCAGCTGAGCCTGACAGCTGGGGAAGGCAGGCCCCAGCACAGGAGTGTGGATCCCCTGCATCCCCTGCTCAGCTGYTTGTGCTGGACAGCCACCAGAAGGGGATCCAGGGRTGTCCAGTGCCACAGGAGCACCTCKTGGRTGACCCAAAGCTGGAGCAGGACCTGCCCCACGCTGTCTGTGCTGCTGACATCAGAGAGGCAGTGCTTTCACTTGGGGGGTGGTGGGGCCAAAACTGCAGTGGGGTGGGGAGCGCTGGCAAGGTGTCTGCAGCCATCCTTGGGACATCCTGAGGGACCCTGGGCAGCCTCCCCAAATCTCTCTGTGTTCTTACAGCAGCAGCAAGCAGAGAGGCCACCCACGTGCCCATGGGGGGTGTTGGGGATCAGAGGAGGAACACCCCAAAATGGGATGAAATGTGTGAGAGCAGCCTCAAGCCATGGCAGTGGAGGAGGAGGAGATCAGGAAGGGGAACATGCAGTGCCCCTGAGCTGAACCTTGTGCTGACACACAGGGAAAAGGAGACAGAGCCCCCACAGCCCCACAGCTTTGTCTCCTGCCTTGTGGTGGCAGCAGGGTTGGAACCAGGCCATCTTTAGGGTTCCTTCCAAGCCAAACCATCCTGTGATGATTCTTGGAGACATTTGCACTGAAAGCCCCTTTTGTAGCAGGCCAAGGCASGCTCGTGCTGCCAGGCAGACTCCAGCCATTTGGGCTCAGGGGTGACACGGTCCCAGCAGCTGTCCCCGCTCTGCCCCCGCCCCGGGCAGCTGGAGCATTCAGCAGCTGACAGAGCCTCCTGCTCTTAAAGTGCCAGCCACCCATGGGGTTCAGAGCTGGGACACTCAGAGCAGCCCAGAGCCAGCAGGACSAGCCTGARCACCCACCCATGGGACAGGAGGGGCCTCCAGGGCACCACAGACACGGCAGCTGAGCTGAGAGGGGGTCACACAAACGCCATCCCAGGCTGGGGCTCAGAGCTCAGCTGGACATGGACCCAGCTCAGAAAGGCCACACCTACACCATGCACAGYGAGAGAAACCCCCTTGAGTCCTGCAGGTTGGATATCAGCTCCCTGCTGACCCCTGATTTTATTTTAGACTGTGCACACACCACAGCCCGGCCCCTCTGCAGGTCAGTGTGACCACARGGCACCCAGGAGAGGGGATGGAAGCCCTGCTCCGGCTCCAGGGTCCAGCATGGACCTCCCAGCCCCCCCCAGCCCATCCCACAGCCCCCAGGGAGGGCACAGGGTGGGGAGGGGAGGGGGTGCCCTCCCCCTGACCACTGCACCCTTCATGGCAGGGACCCCATGGGCGATGGAGAACGGAAAAGCAATTAACAGGTCTGAAAGGAGAAAGGAAAATCTCCAAAACATTACGGGGAATAAACGACAGCTGGCAAGGCAAGGAAGCTGGCTTTGACATGGGATTAACTGAAAACGAGACAGAGCTAACATAGTCCAGGTCTGCAGTTTGACCGTGGCTCTGGTCCATGAGGTTATTAGATCTTTGCTCCAAGGGCAAAAAACCCTGACTTCTGCTAATGAAGAGGCAATTCCTGCCCCACAGCCGTAAACAACAGCACCAAACAAGTCATCCCAACAACACCTCCCCAGCCTGTCCCTCAACCCAGAGCCTTTCCAGGGTCTGCACACAGGGCCCGAGCTGACAGGGCTGGCATACCCTGCAAGCACACAGCCCTCTGGCAGTTCCTTTTCTCTCTCCTCCTAGGACTGATGGCATTTCTGACGGAACCTGACAGCTCTTTCAGGCAGGATCAACCCACGGGTGACAGCTGTGCGTGCAAACACATCTGAGCACYGASCCCRGGGCAACCTCGGGAGTGGGAGAGCCCCAGGAGCGGCGCATGGAGCTGGGCATCTCTACCTGTGTGACACTGGTGTGACCCCTGTGTGACACCGGTATGACATCCGTGTGACACCTGTGTGACACCCGTGTGACATCTGTGTGACACCTGTGTGACACCGGTGTGACATCCGTGTGACACCTTTGTGACACCCTTGTGACATCCGTGTGACACCACTGTGACACTCGTGTGACATCCGTGTGACACCCGTGTGATATCCATGTGACAGCTGTGTGACCCCTGTCTGACACCTGCATGACACCTGTGTGACACCAGTGTGACAGCTGTGTGACACCTGCATGACACCAGTGTGACAACTGTGTGACAGCTGTGTGACACCCATGCAACTACTGCGTGACATCTGTGTGGATGTCACTTGTGTAACCCCTGTGTGACCCCTGAGTGCCCCCTGTGTGACCCCCCCATGTGATCACTGTGTGACCCTGGCATGCCCCCTGTGTGCCCCCTGAGTGCCCCCAGAGTGTCCCCTACATGGTCACTGTGTGACCCTGCTGTGTATCCCATGCCCCATGAGTGTCCCCCGTGTCCCCAGCCATCACTCCCCACCAGCCTGCCGCTCTGCTCTCACCTTGCTCTCTCCTGGCGGGGCTCTCCACGGGCACAGGCTGTGTTTTTGGCTCAGCCAGGACGGGCAGTGTGGRCAGGGCTGGCTCGGTGCTCTCAGCCCCCCGTGCGGCCGGGGCCGGACCCTCGGYGGCCTTGACCCCCTGGACATCGGGRCGCCGGGGCGCCGYGTCGGGCGGGGCGGTGGCAGCGGTCACCTCGGCCCTGCGCTGGGTCATCTCGGGGATCTTGGATGGTGGCCCCTCGGCGCGGCGCAGCCCCGGCTCCTGCGGCTTGCCCAGGGTGATCTCAGTCCTGCGGGCGCCGGGCTCGGGCGGTTTGTGCCCCGCATCCGCCCGCTTGAGCCCGAACCGCGACAGCCCCGAGCTGGAGTTCTCCACCTGCTTGGAGGAGATGTCGATGGAGATTTCCGTTCTCCTGGACACCGGCTCGGGCGCTTTGGGTCCRGGGAGCTCCACCCTCCTCAGAGGGGGTTTGGGGGATCTCTGCACCGTGGGCTCCGCGTGGCGCATGGACGGATCCGAATTCCTGGCGCCGAGTTCCTGAAACTTCTGCGTGGAGCTGGACACGGTGGACCTGAGGAGGGTGTTCGGGGCCCGTCTCTGTGGGGTGGAGGAATTTGAAGACTGATCTACCTCCTCGACCTCAAAGGATCTTTTCAGAGCTGAAAAACACGAAAAGCAGTCCAGGATTTAGTTACCATCCACCTGAGCATCTCCAGGGATGCTTACAGACACTGCACAAGRCTYGTWACTCYATTTCTGCTCCTTCATCCCTGCATYCATAACCCATTTAAGCAGCTGCAGGTTGAAGGCCAGGCCCTGCCTCTTCAGACAAGTTACAAACCCAGTAATGAAACGAGCCAGAGCCAGGAAATACAACCCCAGAGCGGAACCCACACTGCCCTACATCCCACACTCAGAGGGGAGCAGAGGGTCCATCATGGCATGGCACAGCAGGGCACTGGATTTGGGGGAAGCAGAGATCCAGCTTACAGCACCTCTCTTTTCCTCTCACATCTGAAGATGCACAGATAAACACAGAGCTTTCCTGTGAGCACTGCCAGCAAAATCCAGACTAGGAATACGATCTCAGGGTAGCATCAAATCTGTGTAAATGCAGCAAGAAAACCAAAGATGGYAGCCACAGAAGCTTWTATCCTTRAAAAMAAACCTAGAGAGCACAGGAACCAAAGACTGAAGTGTTTTGAGCTTGATCCTGGTACCAGGAAGGGCTCAACTCAGCCCTGCTCCACACAGGACCCAGCCAGGTGCAAACAAAAGGCTGAGCTCCACGGAAAGGGAACCACTGCTGGATCCCATCCAAAAGCCACGGGCTGCAAAAAAACACCCTCTGTGTCCTGCAGAGCCAGGGCAGGCACAGGGGCAGGGCAGGACAAACCACAACCCTGGAATCCCACAGGAGCCTCCACCAGGTGAGGCTGAGCTGGCATGGGGACAGCCCCAGTGTGGGGACAGCCTCAGCAGGGTGACAACCTTGGCGTGGGAACAGCCTGGCTGGGGTGACAGCCTTGGTGTGGGGACAGCCTGGCTGGGGTGACAGCCTGGGTGGGGTCACAGCCTGAGTGGGGTGACAGCCTCTGTGGGATGACAGCCTGGGTGGGATGACAACCTGGCTGGAGTGACAGCCTCAGCATGGGGACATCCTCGGTGTGGGGACAGCTTAGGCAGGGTGACAGCCTGGGTGGGGTGAGAGCCTCGGCAGGGTCCCAGCCTCAGTGTGGTGACACCCTCGGTGTGGTGACAGGCTTGGTGCGGGGACACCCTCAGTGTGGTGACAGCCCCACTGCTAATGGCCAGCACAAGCACCAGCACTGGGCCCACCCATCCCTGACATCCCCAGGACAGCATCAGTGACATTCAGCCCCTAAAACCTGAGTTTGAGATCCCACAGCTCCTCAGGATCTCAGGGACAGAGCGGAGAACAGCCTTGCCTTGTGCCAGGATGTCCTCACACCCCTGGGCTGGAGCTGGAGAGGAATCTCCCTGCAGGAAACATCTCCCTGCAGGAAACATCTCTGGTCCAGGGCTCTCTGACCCCCCAGGGCACAGCCTGGGGACATGGGGACACTCCATCCCTCGGACACGTCCGTTTGCAGGACAGGAGCCCCCTGTCACTGCTGGGTCCAGCTGGTGGCACAGGCACAGGGACATGGCAGCCACCCAGCTCTGCTCCATGGGCAGGGTGGCAGCACGAGTGACCAGCTCTGTCCTGGCAGCAGGGGCTGGACAGCCAGGGCCACAGCCCCAGGGCACACAGGGACAGCAAGGGAGGTGGGGAGCAAAGTGGGACCCTCAGAGCAGGGGCTCATGGACCCCCACACAACGGGGACACWCACAGGGGTTCAAATGTGAGGGTACAGACTTAGGGCTGCTTTCCCTTTTGGGGGGAATACCCCAAAACTGCTCAACATGAACCTCAGGCTGCAAAACCAGTCTGGATGGGCTCTGGAGGAGCTCACCATCCCCCCTGTAAAGCCAAGGAAGGGTCCCACCAGGGGCACCTCGTGACAAAATGGTCTGTGTTGCATCTCTGAGGCAGCAAAGAAAACCAAAGACACTTTTTCTCCAATTTATCTGCTCTGTTTTCTGATTTCCATGGAGCTCTCCCAGCCACATCCTCACCTGCTGGGAGGGGTGGGATGCTCCCTGCAACAGTCCCTGCCCTGCAGCCTGTGCTTGGCACAATTCATGCACTGCAGTTTTATGTCCAAGCCCCCAAGCATCCCCAGAATAATTAAAAAAAAAAAAAAAAAAAACAAAAAAAAAAAAACAAACAAAACAAAAAAAAAAAACCAACACATTTGAGAGTTGTTTCAAAGTATTGGAACTCTCAGGTCTCCAGCACGGAGCTGGAGCTCATTCTCCAGCAGACTTTTCTGCAGTTTTCCTTCTCCATCACACACTCAATCCAGAAACTAACGTTTTAACTATATTTTTTTTCCAAAAATCCCAAGTTTAAAACAATGCTCCAGCCAAGCCCAGTTTGCATTTTGCTGGAAACAAAGAGAGCGGAAGGGACAACCCAACGGGGAGCCCGTGCCTGGCCTTGAGCAGAGCTGGGTGGGCAAGAGCAGCAGAGGACACAGCCCCGGAGGGTCACAGCTCTGCCCACATCAGGATCCTGAAATCAGCCTGCTGCTCCTCCAGGCAGCTCAGTCCCCTCCTCTCCCCTTCACCAAACAGCCCCAAAGCCTCCTGAGGGATTCATCCTGAGGCACAGGGTAAACGCTCTCAAGGAACCTGACAGCAAAGGAAATGCTGACGAGGATCTTTCCTCGGTGAACATTGCCCTGGAGATCTCCCAGTACCTCCCTGGAGTGGTTTGGGGATTTTTTTCAGACCTGCCAAGGAGCTTTGGGTACAAACAGCCCTGCTGACCTCGCAGGGTCCCTCTCATGAGCCACATCCAGCAACTCCGAGCCCTGCTGCTGCTTCCTGAAAAAGTGACACAACAGCAGCTGACCCACATGGCTCTTCTCTTGACTTTAAACGCCCCAAAGTGCTCCAAGGCCAGGGCAAACCTGCCCAATGCCATCCATGTGGAACACAGCCAGCTCCTGTCCTTATCCAAGGGTTGGACTGAATTACAACACCCTAAAATGGCTTTTTTCCTGGTCCTTCTGGGTCCTGATGCAGAAGGGAGAAAAATGGCAAAGCCAGGGCACAAAGGGGCTCAAAAAGCCTCAGGCAGAGGTGCAGAACCATGATTACAGCCTCATGACATCCAAGTCCCCCAGATAACACCTCCCTTGTGCTGTGGTGCCAACGAGCAGGAAGGAGGCACTGAGGGGATGGGCAAGGAACCTCCAACCCAAAGGAGGGGCAGAAATGGCTCAAGCACAGTTTCTGACAGTGAAATCATGAGGGCCCAGCTCCCAGGGGCATTCCCTGCCCAGCAGGATCACTGACTCCCCTGGGGACAGCCCAGGAGCTTTGTCACGCACGGCTCTGCAGGGTGGGGTGYTCATCTCACAGGGATTTTGGTAGCCAGTTTGTCCTCTCAGCACGTTTGACCACTGCCCCAAATTCTGCGTGGTCTGGAGAAGGTCACACATCCCAGGAATGAGAAAAGAGAAGGGCTGTGACCACGAGGGTTTTCATTTCCACCTCTGAGACAGAGCCCCCCTGGCATGAACACGATCCTCAGGAWTGTCACCTTCAGCAGTGGTGGCCCTCGCAGGGACCGAGCGTGGCTGGAGTTCCCTGCTCTGCATTGCCTCTCTCCTCCTCCCATGGGAACAGAGAAGCACCTCAGGAAGCACAACAACTCTCAAAAAAAGAGAAAATCTTATAAATAGTGTGTCCTGCCCAGAGKCAGGAAAGGAAAGTAAACAGCCTCTGCTCCCGATGACCCTCCTCCCGGCTTCCTGCAGGGAAGTGTCMGTATTCCCTGCAAAAACAGGAGCTGAAGGCAGGGCTGCAGGGCCCCACAGCCCCTCCCAGGGCTCCACAGGGACAGTCATGGCTCATTCTCTGTGTCCCCACGGGCTCCAGGTCCCTGTCACCCCCAACAGCCCCCAACAAGGTGTCCCTGTGCAGGGGAGTGTTAACAGCCTGCATGGGAGAAAAGCACCAAGTCCTTAGCTACCTTTGAGAAATAGAGATTGGAATGTAGAATTGATAACACAACTTACAATTATAAACATTACTAATACTGTAGCTTTTGCAAAATCACCAATCATACACTGATTAGTAATTAAACAGCTGTCTCTTGACCAATGTATGTTTGACACAAATGTATGCACTAGTGACTAAAGTAGATAAAAGAAACCTATCTCAAAATAAAGGGGTTACTTTTTGTGTGTGTGTGTATGTGTGTCTTTGTGTCTGTTATTTTTTGTCTGCTGTTGAGCCAACAGCGACATCCCTGCCCTGGGCTTGCCCTGCTGCAGGGCTGTCCCCCTCTATCACACTTCCAGGGGGTTTTGGGTGAAAGCAGGGCTTCCCCAGCCCACCCCATTGAGTGAAGGATGTTGGAGGCAGCTGGAGGTGTTGAGCGCCAGCCTTCCTTCTGTTCCTGTGGAGGTGCCCGAGGAGCTGAGCACAGCCCACACCACCTTTGGATGTCCTTTWAGCCAATTCCAGAGCCATTCAGACACCTCTGGCTCAATCCACCACTGCTGAAGGCAGCAGCTCCCTTCCTGCAGCAGGGAAAGCCCCAAATCCCCTAAAATGAGATTTCTAAAAACWTCCTGTCAGATGCAACCTCTGCAAAAGCCCACCACCATCATGTCTGGGCTGGAAACTGGTCCCCTTTGGGGACCTTTGCAAACCTCAAGGTTGTGGAGTTTTGTTCAGCATCATCACYCAGCTCTGCAGGGCTGGCTTCAAAAATCTCTCTGCAGATCCTGTTGGGTGACAGAGGCATGGGCCCTCCCAGGTGGCTCTGTTGGCTATGCACAAGGACACGAGCTCCTGAAAACCCAGACGTGGTCTATGCCAGAAAGTTTGTGCCTTCATCCCTGGTTGAAGAGGTAGGCACAGTTAAAAAGGAGAAAACATTGATTTCTCTGTTTGGTGCAGCAGTGCTGGGGTTGGCTGCGCAGAGAGGTCACCGTGTCCTCCCTGTCACCCCCAGCCAGGCACCAGCAGGTCACACACCATCAGTGCAAGCTGCTCTTGAGGGATCCTGCCAGCTGGG